AGGACAAACGGTCGGCGCCCGAGATAGTAGGTTTTTCGGATTGTGTGCAAGCGCCGCTACTATCTGAGCTGACGTTCAGCTTAACCTAACGCACTCCTGGTTCAAGGCCATTCTCATGATAGAGCGGGATGACGAAGGATTCAGATTTTTAAAGGATAAAGGATAAAGTCTTCGCCGTTGATCAATCCCTTTGTGGGATGCGGCACGCATTCTACTTCCATTCAGAATCGTAGTGGCTTATTGAATGCGATGTGGCCTATACAATGACTTGCGGTGGCCAGCCGATGTACAAGTCAGTGTTTTATCCTCCCAGACGAATCTGGTACCAATTTACCGTCCCCGGAGGGTAGAAGGCTTGGTTGGCCTGGGCGGGTGTCGACCCGGGATTCGAACCCGGCGCCGCGCGAGTGGTAAGCGCGCCACTTGTCACTACACCACCTCCGCCTCGAAATTGGTTAAATTAAATTAATTAATCAAGTCTATAGTCGTGCGATGGGGAGCGCAAAAGAGGCATAGTTCTTAGTTTCGAATACTGACGAATCGGCGAAAGAAATGCCTCCCCGAAAAGGTTTTGAAGGTGGCATCGGCGGACCGAGCGGAAGAATCCGTACCTCGCTAAAAGCATAGGATATGTATCGATGCGAAAGACCGCGACTCGGCCGGCACGGAACTCTAGCTCTATACGTTCACTTCTTCTCTTCTCTTGAGCGAAATCGATACAAATTCAGCTCTTTTTGCATTGGCCGAGTTCGCCGGGATTTCGCAGAAGAGCTCCAGGCACTCCTCTTTGATGATTTTCGGCGTTTCTCCGATTCATGAGGGTCGTAGTCTGTGAACAATCAGAAACAAAGAAACGAAATGTTGGAAAGAGAAAAGGCTTCAAAGCACAGATGATTCGTTTCGCTTCTTCCCCAGAAGAATCATGCTTTGTGGCTACTCGTGTGGCCTAGTTGCCCTACTAACCTCAGCAGTGCTGTATTTTCTTAGTGTATTCTATTTGCCTCTTCAGGCCCGCGACGATGCTGTGGATGTCAGGTGGATAACTGTTGATTCAAACGAGCCTCTCTACGCCTCGCACGAAGAATTAATTAATCTTTTGAAACGTCATCATGGCCTTTAATAAACATCATTACATTGATCATTTTGTTCTTTGGGACCTCACATCAGTGCTAACGAAGAAGTGTTTATCGAATTAGGAAGCTAGAGGTTGAGT